ACTATGCCACAGCACCGACCCCTACTTCCACCTTTTTAACCATGCTTCTCTCATTGCCTCCCAAATGGCTCCTACCTTATAGCCAGGCAATAAGTACATCACACTTCTGTTTTCCATACCTTTACCTACTGCTGAGTCCCCAAATTGCTTTAGGTAAACCTGTGTAGAGTCTAAGTGCTCCAGGTGCTGTGCTAGGATTTGGGGAACAATCAGTAAAGGTGAGAGACGGGTTCCCTGACCTAAAGCACAAGGTCTCTGTCTCCCTGACGGCGAGGACACGTGTGTGGACCTGTTCAGGATTCACTGCTACTTGTTGACTGTGGGATGATGAAGTGATCGGTGACTTCTTCCTGCTTTCCCCATCTCTTTCTTGTTTTTTCTTTTTTTTTTCATCCCATTCCTCTGTTTGATCCACTCTTCCACTGCACTTCCCTTGCCAATCCTGCATGCTCAGGTTTTTAGCTATCCCTTCTTTGCTAGTAACTCCCAACTCGCTTGCTCTTGCTCTCATCTGTAGAGTATAATTTCATATTTCTGCAACACACCTGCTGACCTTAGGACACTTTGTAACTGTGTCAGCTCAGACACAAAATATATTCAAAACTCAACTTATCTTCTTTCCTTCCAAAAGTTCTTATTCTCCCGACATTTCTATCTGCATGAGCATAGCTACTTTTTTTTTCTCTGCTACCCCCCAACATCTTGATAAGTGCCAAGTTCTCTCAGCCCTGCCACTTGAGTTACTCTCATGCCTGTGTCGTCTTCTCACTTTCTATTGTCAGTAAAACAACACAGAGTAAGGCATGAAGAATACAGGTGCCTTTGACGGAGACAGAGAAAGGCAAGGGAGTTAAAGGGCTTTGCAAGGAGGTGCTTAGAATGCTGCATCATCAAATCCAAGCTAACTAGCTGGGAGTGGGGTGGGGTGGGGTGGGGTGGGGAGGAGAAGGCAAATATAGGAAAGACAGTGATGGGGGAAATGCTTTGCGATTCTTGATAAGGTCCAAGATAATTATGGAGGCCGCACTTGAGCAAAAAAAAAAAAATAAATAAATAAAAAATAAACAAATAAATAAATAAAAAATAGGAGGGCGATGTGACTGGAGCATGGGATGTTTTGTTTTGTGATTGGGAAGTTGATATGATTTCTGAGGAGTTCTCGGGTTACACATGGGCCTGTGTGGCTAAGAAGAATGAAAGAAAGTTCACTGGAGATGGCAGGTCTAGGAAAGCCACGGCTGAGTGTTGCGCAGGTTACTCACAGGTATCCTGGTTCCCGACAATCGTCTCTTCACTGATTACTTTTTGTGGTGCTCTTTCATTCCCACTTACTTGGCCGCGAGCTTTCAGCTCCAGTTTGAGAATTCTAAATGATGTTCCACTGCTCATTGGAGTGGAAACTTTTAAAAAGTGTGTCAGCACGTTAAATACCTTCTCTGGATTATTTTACTTAATCCTTAAGACAACCAATCATCATCTCCACTGATAAGGAAAGTGAAGCAGAGACGAGTTAAGACATCTGTGCAAAGTCTCTCAGCAGTAGTGCAGCCAACACAGAAGCTCAGCCTGTGCTCCTACCCACTGTCGTGTCACCTGGGCTTAGAAGCCTCCAGAGGGCGACTCCCCCCTCGTTTCTCAGCTTTATCTCTCGTTATTGGAGATGCTTTGAACAGAGACCACGTCAAGTGGAAGTGGGCTGCAACTTGTAAGGAATGCTGGCCAGTACTTTGCTATTCTTCCCATGGAATACTCTCTCTCTCTCTCTCTCTCTCTCTCTCTCTCTGTCTCAAGATCCTATCGGTCCATGTAGGTCCATAATGAATACCATCTTTTCCTTGCCAAATCCTACTAAACACAGGGGTACTGTCCTGCTCTGAACCTCCGCCATATTTTATCCATACTCTTCCAATGGCACTAAGCGCGTCTCTTTTGCATTAGGTTGCACATGTGCTTAGACAGTCGGCCTCAGTGACGGCAGGAAGGCAGGAACGTATTTTCTTTTCCCTTAGGTGGGCTCAGCATGCATTGCAGGGCAGTGGGAAGTCAGTGCAAGTTTGCCGATTAATGTTGGGTTGCAAAGGAATGGAGTGACTGGCCCAAGTGCACTTGTCAGGACACGGCAGCATCAGGACCAGATCCGGTTCTCTGAACTCACAACCGACATTCTCCACGCAGTCCCTCCTTCTCATCCCTTGATCCTTCTTCATTTTCCTTCCATACTTTACCCCTGAAACTATGCATGTACTGGAAAGCTTCTTGACTTTTAGTCCAAGTATAAGAGAAAACCCTCACCAACGAACACACACACACACACACACAGGACTCTAATTCATCTAAGTACCCAGTTTTACTTCTTCACCGAATAATTCACCACCTCAATTCAGCTTTCCTGGCCCGCATTTTCTTCCATCTGAGAAGCACTTTCCCTGGCAGTGGCATCCCCTGCCGCCACACAAAGCTGCAGATCTGGTATCCTTTTGTAGTCTCCTCCTCCTTTCAGATATGCCTAATAATAATAAACTGCAAGGCCTAAATGTCAAGCCATGTGGTTGTGAAATAAACCGTGGGAGGGGCCGGTGCCGTGGCGTAGCCGGTAAAGCCGCTTGCAGTGCCAGCATCCCATATGGGCGCTTGTTTGGGACCTGGGTGCTCCACTTCTGATCCAACTCTCTAGTATGGCCTGGGAAGGCAATAGAAGATTGCCCAAGTCCTTGGGCCTCTGCACCCGTGTGCAAGACCCGGAAGAAACTCCTGACTCCTGGCTTTGGATCGGTCCAGCTCCAGCCGTTGCGGCCAATTGGAGAGTGAACCAGTGGATGGAAGACCTCTCTCTCTCTGCCTCTCCTTCTCTCTGCATAACTCTGACTTTCAAATAAACAAATAATTCCTTATAAAAAATAAAAAAGGAATAAACCATGGGAGAGCCCAATGGGCTATAGTGTGGTCATTAACAATGATAACATAGAAACTGAGTAATCTTTTTTCCTTTTTTGAAGATTTATTTATTTATTTGAAAGTCAGAGTCACACAGAGAGAAGAGAGGCAGAGAGAGAGAGAGAGCAAAAGGTCCTCCATCCGATGGTTCATGCCCCAGCTGGCCATAATGGCTGGAGCTGCACTGAGCCAGGAGCCTCCTCCAGGTTTCCCACGTCGGTGGAGGGGCCCAAGGACTTGGGCCATTCCTCTATCGGAACTGGAGCAGCCAGGACTTGAACTGGCGCCCATATGGGATGCTGGCACTGCAGGCGGCAGCCCCAGAAACTGAGTAATCTACTAGACCTCACATTGCTCAGTGAGAAATCAGTTTAGACAACAGTTTCTTGCCATTTGTGTATCTCTGTATGTTAACATTAGGTGTTTATGTTTTCATGGGAACTATCCAACTGCATGGAGACCAAGGGGAAATATCTTTCTCATGGGTATTTTCTAGTTTGCTATAGTGACCATGGATTACCTGTGTAATCTCTACCCCTCCCTGACAAAAGACCAAGCCTCATGCTTAGGATAGATTCTGGAAAAATCATTTGCACTGTAGCATGGATTGTATGTAAGACCCGAGAGGGTCCTCTTTCCAGGGGTGTTTTTATTTTATTCGGTCAAAACCATTAAGGCAAATGGGAGAGACACTGAGCAGGTAGAAGAGGGCTTTTTATCATTTTCTTTCATTTCCCTTCATCGTTGGGGAAGGAGCTCCCAGTCCCTTTGAAAGTGCACCTCATCCAGGCAGTCCCGGGGGTTTCAGGTCAGGGCTGAGCCGTGGGAAAAGAGGGCTCAGCGCCCAGGTAGGTGAGCTTCCGTGTAGAGGTGCACGCTCTGAGTTGATGCTTTCTGTCTTGCAGCTCCTGTTGCTGGGACACCTGGTGAGTACCCCACCCACACCCTCTCCCTCCCCCAGCCACCCTCTTCTCCCTGTACCCTGTCTGGAGGGACTCTCAGTGTACCAGGTCAGGGCTAGGAAGGGTCTTTGCTCCCTGTGCCTGGCCCCTTCTCCCTCTCTCCTCCTCTTTATCCTCCTCCCAGGGAGGCAGGTGGGAGACCGCCAAGGCTGTGATTCAGGGTGAGAGGTCCCAGGCTTTGTCATGAGAAAGGAGAGCTCTGCCCTCTCTTAATCACCGTCCCCTCTCCAAATCAAATCAGGAGCTTCCTCTCTCCAGATAAAACCCAGGCACAGGAAAAATGCCGCGATCTGCATCTGTCGTCCCCACTGTTAATAAATCCTCCATGTTGCATCTCTGAGAGCCTCAGGTTCCGTTCCCCTGACCAGGAGAGGAATCTCCTGCCTTGTGGTTGCAATTCGGCACCGCTCAGCCTCCCCATCCCCGGAAACCTGGCCCTCCAGCCTCTTCATCCTGCTGAGGCCACAGCGGCTCTCCTGCACGTGGGCGGGAAGACAGGCCGACCTGCAGGGAACGACCTCAGTCGGAGCAGCAGCCTGACTTCCATGCTTGACGTCACCAGAGGCCTTCCCTGGTGTTCAGCCAGTGCTGGAGGGAGCTTGTCCACCCGTGTCCAAATGCCTCCGTTTGCAGAGGTGGAACCTGAGCCCCCAAGAGTATGTAGATGTAGGGTGTGGAGTGTGTGTGTGTGTGTGTGTGAGAGAGAGAGAGAGAGAGAGAGAGAGAACCGGCCAGGACATCTCGGGGTGAGGCCCACGTATTTCTGGGAGCTCCTCTCGTCCCCTCCCCCTCTCCTCCTCCCTCTTCCTTCCTCTCCCAAGGACCAGCTGAGCTTCCTGGGGCCCTTGCCCTGGGACGTATGGTCAGAGAAGCGGCCGTCAGCTGAGCAGCCTTCCGTCCTGGGCCTGGCTCCTCGCTTGGTCTCCCCCGGGGCCCCAGGTGCCTCCAGGTCCGAGATGCGGGGCCTCTCAGGCTCCTGGAGTGCGTTTTCCTCACAAGGCCTGCTCCCCCCTCCCCACCCCTCAGCCGAGGTCCCCGCCTTCTCCTGGGAGCTCCTCTGAAGTCCAGGGTCCCTCATATCTCTTCCTAATCCCCCGCCCGCAGCCGAGGTCCCGCAGGCCGTGCTGAAGCTCCAGCCGCCGTGGATCCGGGTGCTCCAGGAGGACTCCGTGACCCTGAAGTGTCAGGGGGCCCACGGCCCCGGGAACCACTCCACCCAGTGGCTCCACAACGGCATCGCCATCCCCAGCCAGGTGCAGCCCAGCTACACGTTTAAGGCCAAGAAGAACGACAGCGGGGAGTACAGGTGCCAGACAGGCCCCAGCAGGCTCAGCAACCCCGTGCAGCTGCACGTGTTTTCGGGTCAGTGGAGGAAGGCTGGGAGGGGTGGGCGGGGCAGCAGAGACGGGGCCTGCAGGGTGGGGGTGGGGGTGGGGGTGGAGGTGCCTGCTTCCCGGGAAGCTGCGCTGTGAGCCGCTTGGAGCCATTTTGGCCGCTCATTTCCCGCTCCACCCGGCCCTGTGCTTAGCCTGTGGTGGGGGTGGGCAGAGGCAAGGTGGGTTGTAGAAATTCCTAGGACACTCCTTAGTGGTTGTTAATGGCTGTTTCTGCCTCACTCCTGATGGAGCAAGAAGTTTCCAGGACCACGGACAGGCAGTTGAGTGTGAGAAGTAAAAGGGATCCCTGCTCCATAAAAACCCGGCCGAGTTTTCCGGCAGTCAGAAAATGCAGCCGGACCACACCAGACTCCTAGCCCTGGACGCTGGGAGCCCCGCAGGCTTCCAAGTCTCAGTTAGCTCATCTGCTGAGTGCAGAGACCACTGCCTCTCTCTGAGGGTTCCGTGCGCATACCACTGCCTCTCTCTGAAGGTTCCGGTCTGAGCAGTGTCTCCCCCCTCCCCCGTCCCTGCCCCCTCCTCCTTCCTCTCACAGTGCTGGGTGCCCTTCTCTTTCTCTTCTACCAGACTGTGGGCAACCTGAGCGAACCCTGAGTGAACCTTGCGTCTTAGCCATCTTTGGGTTCCCAGCACCTGAGACAGGGCAGGGTTGCTCAACAGAACGCGGATTTTACAAAGCCCCTAACAGCATGTCGGTTCTCCATAAAGAACAGCTACAGTGTAGTGATGAGGGATCTTAGTGTTCTTGCCTCCCGGAATCCCCGACGCTCCTCCAAGGTACGTGGCGCACTAATGCCCACCTGGGCCACTGTGGTCCTCAGACTGCTGGAGCGCCACGCTTACTAACATGCATCAAGCAATCCAACGTTGGGGAAAGGTTTGTAACGTTATACCATCCCCGCAGGCTCTGTCTGCCAATCCTCCTCACACGTCCGTCAGTCCTCGCCCCCAACCGGGCCAGTCTGGATGCCTCCTTCCCTACTCCCAGAGATGGGACTGCATCTGGAGGTCCCTTGGATTCTTCCTACAGCAGCCTGGTGGGCAGGCCGGGGATGCAGTTCCCTTCTCTCAAGAAAGGAAAGTGAAGACAGGCATATCCTGAATACTCCCTGTGTGCCAGCAGCTCTTGGAGATACATAGCTTTGTTGTGCCCATTTTCACAGATGAGGAGACTGAGGTCTAGAAGAGTCAACTGACTTGCCCAAGTTTACAGAGCTCATAGATGAAGAGGCCAGAATTAGAGATCCACTGTGCACTTCCAAACTTAAGTTCTTTTTTTAAAAAAATATTTATTTATTTGAAAGTCAGAGCTACACAGAGAAGGAGAGGCAGAGAGAGAGAGAGAGAGAGAGAGAGAGGTCTTCCATTCTACTGGTTCACTCTCCAATTGGCTGCAATGGCTGGAGCTGCACTGATCCAAAGTCAGGAGCCAGGAGCTTCTTCCAGGTCTCCCATGTGGGTGCAGGGGCCCAAGGGCTTGGGCCATCCTCTACTGCTTTTCCAGACCATAACAGAGAGCTGGATCGGAAGTGGAGAGGCGGGGACTTGAACTGGCGCCCATATGGGACACCAGTGCTGCAGGCAGTAGCCTTACCCACTACGCCACAGCGTTGGCCCCCAAACTTAAGCCCTTGCTTCTGTGTATCATGTCCCAGCAGCAAAGATGGCCTGGGACTCAGAGTTGAACAAAGGCCTCCTAGGTCCTGTGGTCCTTTTGTGTCTTTCAGAGTGGCTGGTGCTCCAGACACCTCAGCTGGTGTTCCAGGAGGGGGAACCCATCGTGCTGAGGTGCCACGGCTGGAGGAACAAGACTGTGAACAAGGTCACATTCTACCAGAATGGAATATCCAAGAAGTTTTTCAATTACAACACCGACTTCTGCATCGCTCAAGCAAACCACAGCCATAGCGGTGATTACTACTGCAAAGGAAACATAGGAAAGGTGACCTACTCGTCAGAGCCTGTGACCATCACTGTCCAAGGTTTGCGAACTCTGTTGAGCCACAGCGAGGGGGAGAAAAGGGGCTGGAACAAGGGCTGAGGTCATGTGGGCCCACATGGAGATCTGAAAAATGCCACAGCAACAAGCTGGACCCTGCAGCAAGGAGGAGAGGTGTGGAGAGAGGCTTTGCTAAGGGTTGGCCCATGGGCAGGAGTCGGGACCAGAACCTGCAGCCCTCGGCTTCCAGGTGACAAGGCTGTTGTCCCACTCTGAAACGCGGACTCCCTTCCCTAAGCTCCTGGATGTTCCTAGGAGCTGAGGTCAGTCTTGTTTCTTCTTACGTCTCGTGTTGTTGTGGCCATGCACTCCAGAAGGCCTGGCATGTCCCAGAGAGTGCAAGGCTGTGGCTGATCAAGTAGGGATGGTTCCAGCTGTGGGGGTGGGGGCTGTCTCTGAGCACAGAGAGGAGCCCTTCCCTCTGCTCCTACACACTCGCCAATGTGTCTGTATTGGTGTGGTAGAGAAATGTGGTTATGGCGGAGGCACCAGCCTAGCCACAGCAACCCTGTGCCCATGAGGCTGGGGAGGAAGTAAATAGTGCACAGACAGAGATTAGCTCCAAGTGATGAGCGCCGAGGACCAGCATCAGAGGAGGGCGGGGCCAGCAGAGGTGGGATAGGAGGACTGTTGCTTAGCCTGATGTCTGTCTTCCCCAGAGCCTTCGTCCAACCCAGACGATGACTCACTGGTGGTGACGATTGTGGCGGTGGTCACTGGGATTGTGGTCATGGCTACTGTTGCCATCGTAGCAGCCTTCGTCTACCTCAAACGCAGGCGGAGGTCAGGTCTGTGGCTCCTCTTGTTAACCCTTCCCAACTCCTAACTCCAGGTCCTAACTCCAGACATCATATAGTCCCAACTTTTAATCATTCACTCATTGAGTAATTCATTCATTCAACAAGAGTTGAACGAATTTGCTTCTATGTCAAGAACTGTGGTGACACCAAGATAAAGTCTAGTCCCTGCCCTCATTGTCGTCGGGGAACACAAATGTATGATTAGGTGATTATAGGAAGAGCAAAGTTAGGAAAATGAAAAGGCTATGACAGAGGCATAGAGGAGGCTCCGTAACCCAGCGTGGGCTGGAGCAGTTGGAGGACTTTCCATGGGGAGGCAGGTTACTGTAGTGAGTGAAGCTGACATGGTAGGGCCAGACTGCCAGGGATCAAATCTCAGCTCCACAGCTACCAGCTACATGACCTTGGGCGAGATACTCAACCTTTCTGTGCCTCAGTTTCCCCACCTAGGAACTGGGGACACTAATAAGACCTACTTTGCAGGACTGTTACGTTGAATGAGACTGAAGCTCTTGTGATGGGGCCTAGTGTGTGGTAAACAGCACCTAAATGTGAGCTGTCGCCATGGTGAAGGAGGTGCTGTTTGGCGGTGGCATTAGCTGGGCACAGAGGGCTGGAGAGCATGCTGGGCCCAGAGGCCAGGGCATGGAAATGCTGTGGCTGGGACAGGCTTGGGGGAGTAGTAGAACGGGTGCTGGGAACCATTAGGGAAGAGAAAATAATGCTACTAATACCTCACAAAACACTTTGCAATTGGTTCCTAGTGAGGAATAGTTGCTGAAGATGAGAGAGACTTCGAGAAGGATGTTTTCAGAAGGCAGAGAGAGCCTATGAGGCATTCAGTGGAGTGGCCTTTGTGACATTCCTCGAAGTTCCCACAGTTTAGGTGACTAAGGTCTCTCTGGATCGGCCCCTTTACAAGGTGGGAGCAGACCCTGGACAAGGCAGCCAGGAGCTGGGTGGACAGGAGACATCTGTGTGAGGGCAGGGTCTATGTGGGTTCTAACCCAGTCCTGCCCCCAGCCCTTGGTCCTGAGGACTCAGACCCCCACCCCCATAATCCTACTAACCTCCTATGTGCCCCCTCCTAGCTCTCCCAGGATACCCCAAGCCGGGGGGAATGGGAGAGACCTTCCCAGAGGAATCGGGTGAGTACAGCGTTCTCTATGGGGACTCAGCCACATCCCACCCCAGGCTGCCGAGTGGGTTGGAGCCAGCAGGAAGTGACTTGTGTAAGTTCAGCAGGAAGCACTGGAGAGGGTGGGGCAGTGGGAGGAGGGGAGGGACTCCGGTTTCTTGGTCAGTTCTGAGTCTAACCCTGAGCCCTAAAGAGGACTTGGCAGGAGAAACCAAGGGGGACACAGATCCCAGAGAGGATGAGGAGAGGGCTGTGTCCTGAGGCATGGGCCAGGAACTGGGGTGTCTCCAGAGCAGGACATTGGAGACTTCTGGGTCTTTCTGTGGCATTTGGGCAGTGCTGGCAGACAAAAGGGGTTACAAGTTATAAGACTCAGGGAAGTAGGATCAGAGAGGCAGGAGTTTTCGAGATAAAAGAAGGAGGCCAGCGTGGGGGAAACCATCGAATTCCTGGAGGAATCTGTCTCTTTGGCGTGACAGGGGTAAGGCTCAACTCTTCGTGGGACAACAAGAGGAGAACCAGACTGGGGAAGATTCTGGGGGTCTAGGGGCAAGGGTGGGCTTGACTTGGTTGGCCATGCTTGCTTCTGTTGCCTGCTGATGAAGGCTTGTTCAATGTGGCCTGGTTCTGCCAACCTCCTACAACATCTTTTAAGATCTTTTAAGATTTATTTTATTTATTTGAAAGAGTTACAGAGAGAGGTAGAGCCATCCACTGGTTCACTCCCCAGATGGCCATAACAGCCAGAGCTGTGCTGTTCCAAAGCCAGGAGCCAGAAGCCTCCTCCAGGTCTCCCACGCGGTTGCAGGGGCCCAAGGACTTGGGCCACCTTCCACTGCTTTCCCAGGCCACAGCAGAGAACTGGATCAGAAGTGGAGCACCCGGGACTAGAACCAGGGGCCATATGGGATGCCAGCATTTCAGGCCAGGGCTTTAACCTGCTGCACCACAGCGCCGGCCCCATCTCACAGAATCTTGAGCAAGTCACTTCCCCTCATGCAGTTTGGTCACCTCCCTGAGGAAATGAGTGTGGTGGCCTGGGAGACTTCTAAGCCTTTGTGAGCCTGACATTCTGACAGCCAGTGTCCTTCCACTCCTGAACTCAGGTAGGAGAGTGTGGAAGGGGCAGGAGTTCTCCAGGCACCTTCTTGATGGTAAAATCAGATCACAGAGGACACTGGCGCTTTCTCCCTGGGCTTTCCTGGCAGCCGAAACAAGCAGGAAAAAGAAGCCCTCAAACGACTCTTATCTCTGGAGGCTGGAGTGTGACTCAGAGCACAACCAACAGATCAGAGAGCCTGAGCAAAATATCACGCATACAGCTGCACTCTCCAGCGGGTCTCTGTGTCCCTGGGCTAGGCCACGTGGGCCTGTGAGCCTGCATCCACACCAGCGCCAAATCAGACCTAGGAAAAAGTTCAAGTACATCTAGGCTAGCCAGCCTGAGGTTTGGTCCTGAGTATGCTGCAGAAGCAGGTTCCCGAAGCTTTTGTGCAGCCACGCGCCAGGGCTACCGTTTCCAAAGGCACAGCTTGGTGGCTGGGATTGCCGAGGACCGTATCAGAAGGGGAATTTGGAATGTCCTTTGTTGTGACATGGGGAGCATGGCAGATAGGGGATCCTTTGTGTCCAGGCGACAACGAGCGAAGAGCCTGGATGCGTTGTCTGTGACTCCTCCCCAGCTTTCTGGGAAATGTTGACTTGCAACACTGAGGCTGCTTTTCACACTGGCAAAATGAATTTATGGCAAAAACAAGAAGGAATTTGGAGTGAACTGGACATGTACCAGAGAATGGACATATACCGGAGAAAGACAGGCTTGTTTTTCTTTCTCCCTTTCTCTCATTTCTCTCTCTCTCTCTTTCTCCCCTCTCTCATCTCACTCTCACGCTCACCCTCAGTCTGTCTTCTCCTTGCCGTGGAGCACCCAGTTCATCAGTATCCTAACAAAGGTGCACCACGTTCGGCCCCTGTGGAAATGGTCCGCAGTCTTGTCTTTTTGAAACCCGCGGCTGACAAACACGCAGACATGACTTCTCTCTGACACCAAATGCCCCCAGCTCGTCCCCAGGATCTCAGCTTTCCAAAGCCTGATTTGTTTCTAGGGATGTCTAGCAATTCTCTGAATATAATGTGGCACAAACAGCTGCTTGCCTTTGCCAGTGTAGACAGCGGGCAGGGCTGGGTCTGGGACATGCCAGAGTGGGGCGAGGGAGGAGGGGCGACCGTATTGTGTCACCTCTGGGCCAGCAGGCTTTGCTTTGCCTTGGGGCCAAGCAGCAGCCCTATTCTTCAGCCACGCCCTAGCTGATTTCTCTTCTTTTTGCACACAGCCCGTCCCATGGATACCGAGGAAGCTGCCAAAGCTGAGGTGAGTGAGCTCAGCCATGTCCTCTCCCTGCTCGGGGTCCCCGGCTGCCCCTTCCGTTGCTTTCTTTCCATGGCTCCCCATGGCTCCCCTCTGCTTTCTCTAGGCTGAGAACACGATTACTTACTCACTTCTTATGCACCCGGAGGCTGCCGAGGAAGAAGCAGATTACCAGAACCGCATCTAGTCTCATTGCCTTGCCCTGAGGTTTGGGGCAGAGGATGAGAGAGGCAAGGGCTGATGTCACCTGGCCTACATTGTCCTTGGGGACGATGGGCGGATGCCATGGCTCCAGGGGAGAAGGACTCTTCCGGAGTTATCTACGTGAGCCCTGAAGCTCCCGAAGCTCCAGCCCCAGCTGGCTGCCTGCGCTGCACCAATGCCTTAGAGCTGTCCATGTCCAGACTCTCTGCTATGCATCCACACAGCCAGTACAATCAAGCACATCACAGCCAGTACAATCAAGCACATCGCTGTCAGTGACACTTTGCAACAACATGGACGTGGCTGATGGTATAGGCTACATGAGAACAATTGTACAAGCGTATCCGATTTCAGAAATATTACAATAGACTAACACACAGCAGCATATGGAAAGTGATTATTTCAGGGTGATGGAATGTTTGGTGATTTTTGTTTTAATTCTTTATTTTTCTATAAAGGTCATGTATTACTTTTATAATAAAATAGTATTAAAAAGCCTTTCTGTTTATACTTTCAAGGCTGTATTGGCTGGAGTGTAGACTGAACTACTTGGGGTCTGTTTTTCTTCAATGGTAAGAACCTTTGGAAGGTAGAAATGGATAGGATGTGGGGCAGAGGACAGATGGGGGATTTGGAGTGCAGGATAAGTGCCCTTCTTTTTCAAACTCAACGTTCTTCTTCCAGGGAACATGTATTCTTGTCTCCACATCTTCCTCCCTTTTCTCCCGTGGCCAATAAAACAGTCACATTGTTTGGCAATGTAAATTCTCAGGAAGTCAACCATCAGATGAGTCCTGGGTGATGATAGCCGGGTTCTGGCTCTTCTGTTCTCCCAGTGGGGTTACAGGAAGCCAGTCCCAGCAGATGAGAAACATGACTGCCAGCTTCCAGCTGGTGCTTGGTGAGGGCCCTTGGAGAAGGTTCATCTTCCTGGGACTCTCACAGCATCATTATGTAACGTTCTTTTTGCACTCACGATTGAACAGCTTCCTTTTTTGGGAGTAGTTTCCACAGATTTCTATGACACTGACTTTTACAAAATTTTATTTAGCTACTTCTTTATGGGGGGTTGGGGCTGGAAAGGAGGGCTTCTATCTGCTGGATCACTCTCCAAATGCTTGCAAGAGTCAGAGCTGGGCCAGGCTGAAGCCAGAGCTTGGAACTCCATGCAAGTGTCCCATGTAACAGGTACACAAGTGCTGGAGCCATCACCTGTTGCCTCCCAGCGTGAACATTAGCAGGAAGCTGGAATTAGAAACAGAGCCAGGACTTGAACTCAGGCACTCTGATATGGGTTGTAGGTCCCAAGCAGTGTCTTAACCACTGTGCCAAACGCCCACCTCCTTGGCTGATCTTTTTGATTGCATGGGTAAATAGGTCTGCAGAGTAAGCTCCTATGTCCAAGAATACTCTCATGTTGCTTTTACATGTCCTCCCAAAGTATATTAGTGTTCTCATTCCCTTCGACCATTTTCAGTGTTGGACATTCTAAACTCTTGGCAAACTGATGCTAATAGACTCTGCTGTGGCTTGAATATAGTTTGTCCTCTCAAACTCATACAGGAGTTTAAGTCCCAGAATCCTATGTTAATGATGTTAACAGGGTGGAGACGTCACCAATGGTGTTGAGAGACAGGACCTTTGGAAAGTGGCTGGGTTTAGATCAGGTTGTTAGGGTGGGCACCTGTGGTGGAATCCTGGTGGCTTCCTGAGGCAAGGGACAAAAGCGAGATACATAGCCACAGACACCAATGCTCCCTGTCTTATCCCATGATTCTCTGTGCTGCCTTGGGACTCTACCAGCAAGCAGGCCATCATCAGGTAAGGCCCCTGGACTTGACACCACCAGGACCATGAACCAAAATAGACTTCTTTTCTTCAAAAGTTAGCCTGCCTCAGGCAATTTTTTTTTTAATATAGTGATATAAACTGACTAATAGAGATGGTGTTCCTACTCCCTGGCCAGCATTAATTTCTCCTTGTTTGGCAACAGACCCTGACTTTGCCTCAGCAGAACAGTTCTACCTGCACTCTCAGGCCGTGTGAGTAGGTGGGTTGACTTCACCCCGATTCCAGCAGGGAGCACACACTGCAAGCTGGGCCAGTCAGGTGTTATATGCCTGGGATTTGAATCTGGAGCAGAGTGAAGGCAGGTGAAACTCATTTATCCCAGTGGCACTACCCAGATGGGACTGATTGCTTTTATTCCTGAATCTGTCCTGTTTGTAGTGGTTTATGAGGTCCTTCAACTTCCCCTTCTGGTATTATCTGATGTCCTCAACTTCAAAGATGAGCTGGTTTACAGTTTGCCTGCAATAGCGCTATCTCCATCTCCATACCCATCTCTGGGGGACTCCTAGTTGGCTGGGTTTTACTCTTAGCCATGACAAACTCAACTAATCCCATTCTTAGCAATGAGGTTTGTGATATGCTATTTAATATCTTAAACTTGCCTGATGTTCCCCCAGGGTCAGTTTCTTTACTATGGCTTTTTTTTTTTTAAAGATTTATTTTGGTGGCTGGCACTGTGGCACATTGGGTTAAAGCCCCGGCCTGCAGTGCCAGCATCCCATATGGGTGCCAGTTCGAGTCCCGGCTGCTCGACTTCCAATCTAGCTCCTTGTTAATGTGCCTGGAAAAGCAGCAGATGATGGCCCAACTGCTTGGGCCCCTGTACCCACTTGGGAGACCAGGAAGAAACACCTGGCTCCTGGCTTCAGCCTAACTCAGCCCCGGTTTTTGCAACCATTTAGGGAGTGAACCAGTGGATGGAAAACCTCTCTCTCCCTCTACCTCTCTCTGTAACTCCACCTTTCAAATAAATAAATGAATAAATAAATCTTTAAGAAAAAGACAGAGTGACACACAGAGAGGAATAGATATAGAAAGAGATCTTTTTAAAAAATATTTATTTATTTATTTGAAAAGCAGAATTACAGAGAAGCAGAGGCAGAGAGAGAGAGAGGTATTCCATCTGCTGGTTCACTCTCCAGATGGCCGCAATGGCTGATGCTGTGCCAATCCGAAGCCAAAAGCCAGGAGCCTCCTCTGGGTCTCTCACACAAGTGCAGAGGCCCAAGGACCCCGGCTGTCTTCCACTGCTTTCCCAGGCCACAACAGAGAGCTGGATCGGAAGTGGAGCAGCCAGGACTCGAACCTGCGCCCATATGGGATGCCACTATGCCACTGCACTGGCCCCGAAATAGATCTTTTCTGTCCTGATTCACTCTCCAAGTGGCCCCAACAGCCATGTCTGGGCCAGGTGAATCCAGGAACCCAGAAATCCCATCTGCATCTCTCACATGGGTGGTAGGGACCCAAGCACTTGGGCCATCTTCTTCTGTCTTCTCAGGCAAATTGGCAAGACACTGGATGAGAAGCAGAGTAGCCAGGACTTGAACTGGGATGCTGGCATTGCAAGTAGTTTAACCCACTGCACCACAACGTTGGCCTCTACTAATAGTTTTTCAATGAGCTTAACCAGATAGATAACCTGACTTTATCATGTGGCCAGAGGGGCCTAGAAACCCTTTTTGGGGGCGGAGGGGGTGTATGCAGTGGGTGTTGTGGCACAGCGGGTTAAACCACCACTTGTGATGCCTGCATCTCATATCTGAGTGCTGATTTGAGGTCCAGCTGCTCTGCTTCCAAACCAGCTCCCTACTAATGCACCTATGAAGACAGTGGATGATGGTCCAAGTGTTTGGGCCTCTGCTACCTGTGTGAGAGACCTGGCTGGAGTTCAAGGCTCCTGGCTTCAGGCTGGCCCAGGCCCTGCTGTTGTGACCATTTGGGGAGAGAACCAGAGGATGGAATATGTGCATTCTCTCTCTCTGTAACTACTTTTCAAAGAAATAAGTAAATCCTTAACAAGAAAACCCTCTGGGAGCTTCTGCTTTGAGGTATCCTCTAGCCTGGATTCCTTGCAGGAATCTTGGTGGTTTAATCCAGACACAAAGTGTACGGTGCAGACACAAAGCATAAATGAAGTTCAAGGACACTGAGGACCATGGAGAGCTTGTGCATAGACTCTCTTGGACTCCCAGCGATTTCCTGAACTCTCTTTCTCTTGCTGCGTCACTGATTAAAAGCTGTATGTGAGTCTGCTCTGTGGAACCAGTGAGCTCTTTCAGACACCCTCTTTCAGCAAGGCCTCTCGGATCCCCATTTCCCCATTGCTATTACTCTGCTTCCATTTCCTTCACAGTGTTTGCCATATATGTAATTCTCTTATCTTTTCCTTTTCTGAAATAGTGAAATATATTCTAAAAGGTAAGCTCAAATGCAGGCAGGGTTTCTGAATGGTTCGTTAGTATATTCCGGGGACTAGAATGATGCAATAAATAGTTGCTGAATGAATAAGTGAATGAAACTTTTCTTTTATAGTTTCTGAGTTTTGTAATACGCTTGGCGCTATGGTTTGAATGTTTCTCTCCAAATTCAAGTGTTGGCAAGTTAATCACCAGTGCAACTGTGTTTGGGGTTGGGTCCTAATGAGGCCACAGGGCTCTGCCCTCCTGGATGGACTAAGGCTGTTATCATGGACACAGGTTGTTATTTCAGGGTTGGGTTTCTTGTAAAAGGATGAATTTGGCCTCCTTTTGGTGCTTGGGCCCCCTAGCTACCATGTATGTATGTATGTATGTATGTATCTATCTATCTATCTTCTTCTTCATTATCATCATCATCTATCTCTCCCATTCCTCCATGGGATGACACAGTAAAAAGGCTCTGGCCAGTTGCTGGCCCTTTGATCTTGGACTTCCCAGCCTCCCAAACTATGAGCAAATGAATTTCATTTCATTATAAATTGCTCAGTCTGTGATGTTGTGTAATAGCAACACAAAGAAGTCCTTCTTCATCTTAATTAAGAGTTCAAGGGGCTACAGCGCCAGCATCACATATGGGCGCCGGTTCAAGTCCCAGTTGCTCCACTTCCAATCCAGCTCTATGCTATGGCCTAGGAAAGCAGTAGAAGATGGTCCAAGTCCTTGGGCCCCTGCAACCACATGGGAGACCCGAAGAAGCTCCTGGCTCCTGGCTTTGGATCAGTGCAGCTGCAGCTGTTGCAGCCAATTAGGGAGTGAACCAATGGATGGAAGACCCCCCTGTCTCTCTCTGCCTCTCCCTCTCTGTAACAACTATGCCTTTCAAATAAATAAATAGATCTTTAAAATATTTCAAAGAGTTATCATATATGTATTACCTTTCCTTGAAATTTCACCTTTTTTTTTTTAAAAAAAAAGATTCATTTATTTATTTGAAAGGCAGAGTAACAGAGAGAGGGAGAAACAAAGAGGGAGAGGTCTTCCATCCGCTGGTTCACTCCCCCCAAGTGACTGCAACAGTCAGGGCAGAGCCAGGAGCTTCTTCTGGGTCCCCCACATGGGTTCAGGGGCCCAAGCACTTGGACCACCTTCCACTGCTCTCCTCAGAGGAGAGAGTCAGGGAACTGGGTAGAAACTGGAGCCGCTGGGATGGGAACCTGTGCGCATAAG